CCCTGTCTCTGCACCTCCACGTTGTCGTGGTTGTTCCTCTGTAATATACCGTATAACCATAGCCTCCACTATGGAGGCTATCTTTGCCTTTTTGGTTTTTTACAAGCGTGAACATAGGGTAGTAGAGAATGAAATTTATTTACATGCCAAGGGAATAGAATGATGCAGTAAAAGATAGGATAAAGATACGAAGTGTCTTAAAAAGTATGCCCGCCCACCCAAGCAGCTTCTCCTGTCCATGCACCTCCGTGTTGTCGTATTCGTTCCTTTGCAGTATACCGTATTTACCTCTCCGCAAATACAGCCAACACGAGAATTAGGGGTCTAGATAGAAAATGTTTATACAAAAAATTGTGTCCTATTTTTGTTATTCGACATTCTGAATATTCGACATTTTGAACATTCGACATTTTGAATCACCACGGAATAAATGCTAGGAACAGTTTGTTGAAATATTTTGCCCATAAATGACAGAAGGAAAAAGAGAAAAAAGAACCACAGAATTGAATAGGACGGATGAGAAGTTTGAGAAACTAGATCAGGTGCTAAATAAAATAGCATTGGAAAAGAGGTTGTTGATTGAGGCAGAGCATTTGAAGAGAATCAAAAAAGTCAAAACAATCAGATTCTACTGTGCATTAGAGAATGATGAATTGAAGGTTCATGTACGAATTTTGAATAATTTCACAGGTGAGTTGAAAGCAGAGTCAACCAGCTTGTGGGAGTTGATAAAGAGGATTGTGGTTGTAGCAGATGGAAGTATTCACGAGTGGACTGTACTGAACAAGTGCGATGCATTTCTAGTAAAAGGAATTGTCAAAACAGGTGGAATCAGACTATTGGTGAAACTACAGAATGGAATGAATCTGTTCAAATTCAGTAAGGAATTGAGTGAGTTGCTGGGAATATATGCTGAGTCAAAGGCAAATGCAGTGAAAGAGATCTACAAATATGTTAGTGCAGAGAATCTATTGAATCACAATACTGGGTTTGTGACATGTAATGAACCAATGCATAAAATATTCAAAAAGGATGAATTTGATTTCAATGATATTGGAGAAATGCTAGAGTGCCACTTCATGCCACTTGAATACCTGAAGATTGATTTAGGTAGTGAAAATGGCCTAGAAATGTTTGATTTGGAAGTAGAGTGTGATGATGTGACACAAATGCCTATTTTATACACAAATGAAGTCAAAATGCTGAGCAAGAAGATTGAATCAAACAAGATCATTGAAAAGAGAATTAGGAACTCAATTGACATTCTGGATGAATTCATCAAAAACCCATTAAGAATGATGGCACGATATCTGATAATGGAAAAAGACATTAAGGGAATAAAGACGAAATACTTTGAGGACCTAAACATCCAAAGTGCACTTTTTGAGCTGCTTCACAATAAGAATTAGTTAAAATAGGTATTGTTTGAGTATCATCAACCTGATTTCATTTGTTAACTGGATATGAGGGAAATTCACAAAATTTTGGCCTCTAAAATACATGGCCAAAAGAAATAGACACAGAGACAGAGCACTGCTAAAGGCAGACGAAGACAGCGTATACGGAATCATCCTACAGTCATTGGGCCACAATAAGTTCAAAGTCTATTGTTCAGATGCATTGACTAGAATTGCTTCAATACGTGGATCAATGATTAAGAGAGTTTGGATGCAGGAGAAAGACATCGTGCTATGTGCATTGCGAGAAGGAGACTCGAAGTTCTGTGACATCGAGCTTAAATACACGGACGAAGAGATAAAGGCACTGAAGGAGGCTGGATATCTCACTGACTCTCTTCTGAATGCTGAAATGGGTGGGGATGAGGTCACAAGCAAAGTGGACTTCAGCAACTTATAGCAAAATATCAAAATGTTGATGAAACACTTTTAACTATGAATAATCTTTGATTTACAGTATAAAATATTTTAGGCCCCAATGGTAGTGAGAGTGACCAAAGGAAATGGAAATGTCTGTGGGGTCAAAACAACTCAGAAACAGCCGTCTACTCCAGTGAACTACGCTAAGGGCGTCTGGATCATCTGTAATCTGTTGTTCATTCTGAACTACACCTTGGGATTACTTGGATTGTTTGTGAAAACAGTTTGCCTAGGAAACAGGTGGAATTGTCTACTGTTGAGTATTGTATTCGTGGCATCAATACTACAGAATGTGAAGAATGGCGGTGACTTAATCAACAATAGGAATACGCTAAGTGTGATGTTCTTCCTCTCTTTTCCAAGAGGAATATTTCTATTGCCCTACTACATTCTAAGCATTTATCACGTGATTGGAAATTACCATAAGGAACTAAAAGAGACTGAAAATAAGACACCAGCACAACAGGGGCTATTTATGGCTGTAAGTAGCATCCAACACCATTGTAGGATGTTTGGAACTGCATCAGTTGTACTCACATTCTGTAACTGCATTCTGGCATTGTTCATGTTTGAGTTGCACACATTCTTCTTTCTGCTTCTGATTGTAAGGCAGCAATTCCATGAAAATGAGGCAATGACTAATCTGATTTATTGGCTTGTGGATTTGATGGATAATCACATTCATAAGGCACCATCTGTATTACAGCAGTTGTATACGAAGATTAAGAAGATGAGCAAGAACAAGAAAATAAACCCAGAAGCTAAGAATAAATAGGCTGATTTATTATATGGTGAAACTGAATTCAGTATTGTCTCCATCTTCGTCAATTTTAGTCTCTTTGCATAGAATACGCAAGTATTCAGCATGTTTCGAGACTGTGGCCTTATTGCTGCCTCTAATGGATTTGGCTGCGTCTAGAACTGAGGCAAAGTCACTGGCTAATTCTTGTTTGACTCTTTTTGGGAAATCTGAGATGATTCTGTTTGACTGGTGCAATTGGCAATAAATTTCCTGAGAGATAAATGGCATAGTTGGATGAAGCAACTTGATGAATGCCAAGAAGACGTAGACAAGGACGTTCAGGTCTGTTTCAGTCTCAAATGCCTTGGAGAGCTCAATGTGGACGTCACAGAATGAGTAGAGCACAAACATGTGCAATGACTGTGTTACTCCCATGAAGTTGTATGTGACGTAGTTCTTATGTTGTTGCGCAATACAATCATTCAACTGGTTTAGAATGTGCTTGTTGTGCGCCATTAACTCACCAAATGTCTCCATTTTCTCACAGTCGTCTACACTTTTATGCATTTTAGTAAGCTTACTTTCAACGTACTTGAATGCATTATGGATCTTGTTACAAAGACGAGAGTAGCCAGCTACGCGCAGAATATCCAGGTTGATGTCCTTCATTCCATTTGTATAGGAAAGCAGCGAGAATCGTAGTGCATCTGCTCCACACTTTGGTATTCCATTTGGATAGTCCAATATTATACTCTCTTTGGCACGTTCCATCTCATTCTTAGATACATTAACTGATATGTTTTGTATCATCTCATCCTGTGTAACTCCTTCAATGACGTAGATTGGATCAATCACATTTCCAAGAGATTTCGACATCTTTTGTCCGTGAGCATCCCTTACAATTCCATGCAATAAAATTGTGTCAAATGGCTTCGTTCCAAGCAAGGCGTATGAAAGCATCACCATTCTGGCAACCCAAAAGAACAGAATGTCCGAACCAGTCTCAAGGATCGAGTTAGGAAAGAATTGCTTAAGCAATTCAGAATTGTCTTTCTCTCCCCATTCCCATCCAAGTGTACTAAATGGCCATAATCCAGAACTGAACCACGTATCCAATACGTCACCATCCTGTTCTAATTCCATTTCAGTTCCTTCTTTTTCTCTTACCAATTTCCTGGCTTCATCAATTGATTCTGCTACAATCCATTCTGTTTTATCATTCTTCTTATAAAAATATGCTGGAATTCTATGACCCCACCAAAGTTGTCTTGAAAGACACCAATCTTTGATGTTTATGAGCCATCTACTCCAAATTGCTTTGGATTCCTCAGGAAATAATTTGATTTCTCCTTGTTCTACAGCATCCAATGCCTGTGCAGCCATTTCATCACAGTTCAGCCACCATTGCTCTTTTAGTATTGGTTCAACCAAATCATTTGACCTTGAACAAAATGGGAGGATTTGATCGTATTCTTCAACCTTCAGAATGCATGGGTGTTCTTTCACCAATTCTCTTGCTTCAAACCTCTTCATGCCTTTGTATGGTGAATTATAGCATATTCTATTTTTCTGATCAATTACGGTAATAAATTTCAGCCCGTGTTTCTGACCTAATTTGAAATCAACCATATCATGGGCTGGGGTGATTTTGAGCATTCCAGTTCCAAGTGTCAAATCAGCCTGTTTATCGAATACCACAGGAATCAACTCATACGTCAATGGATTAATTGCAATCAGGTCATCAGACACATTGGGTCCTGTTTCGTTATCTTCCTGTCCTACCACTTTGTACTTGTTTCGTTTTTCCTTTTTCATAGACGTATTCAAATCTGTTTCTACTTCTTCTTTTGTATGCTTAGTTGTCCTATTCTCATCGTTCATTACATCTTCTACTTCAAGCCTCTCGAATATTCTCTTGATATTCTTCATTCTCTTATCTTCTGGATTCATGCATATTGCTGTATCACCCAATATTGTCTCAGGTCTCGTTGTTCCTACAATTATGTGTGGTAGTGTGCTATAAATTTCATCATTCATTGCATTATGCAACATATAGTTGTTTTTCATTGATTCATCCTTAAATTTCTTTCTAATTTGTTGTATTTTCTCATCCAACATCTTCTTATTCTTCTTCTCAGCAATAAAATACTTCACATAATACATCAAACCAAATTGATGCTTCTTCCCATCCATCGTAAGCTCCTCTCCGCCACTTACTGTCTTGTAATTCACTTCTAAATCACTCAGTGTCGTTTGCATCTGCCCAGACCAATTCACCATCTTATTCTCCCTATAAATTAATCCCTTGTTGTATAAAATTATAAAGGCCTTTTTCACTGAATTACTCACACGTGGATCCAACGTAAACATCTGTTTTGAGAAGTCCAATGATGATCCCATTCTGTTAAATTGTTCTATGATTCTACTTCCATATTTGTTACTCCACTCATGTGCTGTAGCCATGAAATACTCTCTATCTTGCAACTTATTACTATCTTCTCTTGCTATCTTTTTCATCACCACTGATTGCGTTGATATACCAGCATGATCCAAACCTGGTAAATAGAGCACATTCTTACCATTCTGTCTGTTGTATCGTACTATTGCATCTTCAATTGCAATCATCATGGCATGTCCAATATGGAGTGAACCTGTGATATTTGGTGGTGGAATTATCATACAGAAATTATCCAATTCTTTATCAGAATTCACTTTGCATTTGAATGTCTCATTTTCCAACCAGAATTTTGTCCATTTTGCTTCAACTTCTGCTGGATCATAACCGCCACATTTCTTTGTTTCCTTCTTCTTTTGTTTATCTGTTTGTTTTGTTGTCAAGTCCTTCTTTCTTGCTAACCTCTCTAGTTTCTCAGCAATCTGTTTCTCTTTCAGTGCCTTCTTCTCTTCCTTAGTTAATTTTGGTTTTTGTTGTTTCATATCAGAATATGCTGTCATTTAAGGACAAAAAAATTCAAAAATGTTCAGGTGATATCAGTAAATGTACATGAACATATCAAATGATGATTCACGAATAATAAACGAGTTCCAATGGAAATCAATTTTATTGGTGAATAGCTTATTTTCGTCTTTCTCTGTTGCCCTCTATGAAAATTGGTAGACTTTTTCAATACATTTTCACCGTCATTGCTGCAGAAGATGAGGACGTGCGTCTAGAACCACAATTTATGAATGTAAAGGCGTATTATTCAAAGAAAGAGAAGATGTTGACATTGACGTTGTTCAGGTGGTCAGTGTTATACGAAATGGCAGAAATTTCATTATTGGGATTGGTTAGAACTGAGGCAGCAATAGTAGGTGAAGGATCAGCATATTCGTTGTATAAACCAAGTGCATACACACTATATGTTGCAAATAAAGACAATTACAATGGAGCTAATGTTGCAAGAAAAGTTCATAAATATTTCCAGGAGCTTGTGAATGAATCTGTGGATCAGATTCATTATACTGGAGCCTTGGCTGATGACATAGTAACGAAAGTATCACCAGGAAGAAGTTATTTTGTGGTAAAAATGGAGATAGGAGAAGAAGATATGGAAAATATTTTTGAGGAAGGAGATGATGTAACACATTTCAGTATGTTTTATTATGGACAAGGTAATAAAATAGCAATGATTGATTACAAAGTGTTAGATAAGGAGATTATACATATGGATGATTGCTTTATATTAGATATTGAAAAGTTGATTGAAATGATTGTGCTGATAAACCTAGGACTGTTTCTAACTATGAATATTGTATTATACATAAAGAAGAAGAAACAGGATGCGGAACTAATGGAAAAGTTCAATGAATGATTAAGTAAGTATATTTTTTTTAAATTTCACACTACTATATTTAAGTGAAATTAGCGAGAACGAATTTATAGGAGCAAGAGAACAGCTAAATAATTTCTTATATTATCATATAAACCCAAATAAATAAAAAAGTTGAGGATCGGGCGGCCTGAAGCACTCGCAATAAGCTCATGCCGTACAGCCCCCGTCCCCGCGTGAGTCGTCTTCACACATTGGTATTGTTAAGTACTTATTCCAGCTTAGAGGCTTTCAGCTGTTACAAGAAGGACGTAGCTGTGCCCCGCGCCTTAACAGACGAGGGCGGTACCAGTGGTCCTGATCG